AAAAAAACTTCCGTCCATAGAGAAATCACAAAAATGAAAACAAACACAAATCCATACCTTCAAATCTCCCCAGAAAAATCTAAATCTATTATTCTTCTACTTCCTCCAACGAAATTAAACTCAAAAAAGCTCCAGATTTGGTTTACTTTCTTATCTTCAAACTTCTCAGAAAAAAATTTAGAGAAATTTCAAAAAATGCCACTTTTCAAGTGCTACTTTACAAAAATGCCACACTTTTGAAATTTTGACAAAAATGCCACTTTTTCAAAATTATTTTTTCTTCATATTATTTATGTTTGGGTTAATTATGTTCTATTAGGGTTTAATTTTGAATGTTTAGGGGGTTTTAGGTGTCAAAACATTTTTTAGGGTTTAGAATTTTAAGATATAGGCCTTCTTGCAAATGTGCACACAAAAAGTAGTATTTTTATAATTACCCCAAATATAAATATCAAAATAGTAGGTGACATATGACATTTTTTCATGATTTGAGGTTTAGAAAAATCTTAAAATATTATCAGGATATNGAAATTTAGTCATTTTTAATTGTGACGTTGAAACCAATTTCTACTTTTTGATTTCGTCGAAAAGTAGATTTTAAATTTTGGGTTTCATCAAAATACTAAATTTTATTACTGAAAAAGAACGTAAAATATACAAAAAGACGTTTTTGTTTTCCAAAAATTTTGTATATTATAATTGTAATTTCGATTTCAAATTAATGAAACTGTTTGATGGGAAAACAGAAGAACGTCTAAACAAACCTAACCCGAAGAAACCGACTCATACCGATCACAATAAAAAAAAAAGGGTCAACGGACACGGAGCCATTGATACGACCAAGTTGTTAAAGAAGACATGTGAGCTTTCTACAAACATTATACTTTATAGATAGAAAATAATTCTATTGCAATCATCCAGGGAAATAAGAAATTCGATGACGTTAAAAAAAAAAAAAAAATTCCATATCGGATACGTAACTAAATCCGAAAATCTAACTAAAATGCGTATTTTTGCAATTAATTAGACCAAATTTAGACGTATTTTTGCATTAAATTTTGGTGTAAATTGAATCAGAACCGTTAATTTCAGCGATCCGCGAATTTAACTTCCAACCAATAAGAATCTAAAGTATAGAAAGGTTTTTTGCCTTTCTTTTTCATCGTGATCGGAGAAAATACCAAAGCGAAATCGCGTAAACGTCGGAGAAAAGTGTCAATTCGTTTCTCATCTCGAGGGATTAGCCATATTGT